ATCTGATACCCTACTTAGGGCATAACTCGATGGGGGTAGTGTTACGTTTTTTTCAATTTGTTAATAATTTGTTAAAAGATATTTCCGGCAGCATTTGCTCTCAGGCAGGAATACAGGTTAATAGATGAACATAATACTATATATTGATAATAGTGTCGACACATAACTCGATTGGGGTAGGAAAAATGCGGTCGTCACCCTAACCAAGTTTCCATTCTCCATCATTCAAGTTTTCTGTCTCAATTTTTGTTTATTCCAGGCTCTTGAGGTTTCTCCAAATTTCTCAGAGTGAAGAAAATTCAAGTGCCTGGAATAGAAAAAATATGTCTACCCCTTAATTAGTTATGAAAACTGTTGTGGAAACAGCAAAACTCTCAAAAAATTGAACCGTTCACAAACTCTCAACTCGATAATGCTTTGACAAAATTCTGGGACTGTTCCCCTGAAGATGTACAAGTAGAAGACATTTTCGTCTCAACTACTAAGGTACTAGAAGATGGCTCTTACCAAGTGGATTTTCCTTTAAAATCTCAGAATGAGCATCAAAAATTGGGCGATTCTTTCATGATCGCTAAAAAAAGGTTCTTTACCTCTCCTCTAACTCAAAGAAATTCCCTAGATGAAAACAAATATTTTATTCCCCACCTATGTGTCATAAAAGAATCAAGTGTCACTACAAAGTTACGTGTAGTTTTCGATGCTTCGGCAAAGAGCTCTACAGGTTATGCCCTAAATGACATCACATTCAAAGGTTTCCAAGTACAACCCGATCTGTACGATATTTTAGCCCGTTTTAGACTCTTTAGGTTTGCACTGGTGGCTGATGTGCAAAAAATGTACCGCCAGATAAAAATAAAGGCCGATCATAGATTTCTTCAAAATATCTTATGGCGGGAGAGTCCTGATAACCCTTTAGCATGTATAGAATTATCGACGGTAACATATGACACTATAGAAACCTATTTAACTCAGAATTAAATACAGTGGAAGTTCATCCCACCTAGGTCACCACATTGGGGAGGATTGTGGGAATCTGCCATTAAGAGTGCAAAGTACCACATAAATCGCCTTGTAGGAAATAATCACTTCACTTTCGAAGAATTTGACACAATTCTATGCCAAATTGAGGCAATATTAAATTCTCGGCCTTTATGCGCTTTATCTAGCGACCCTTCGGATTTCGAATCGCTAACCCCTGGACACTTCCTTATAGGTTCGCCACTGACTGCATATCCTGACAGAGACATCACTCATACTCCCGAAAATAGACTTAACTCCTGGAAAAGGTGCTCTCAGATTCAACAAAGGTTTTGGAAGCGCTGGAGCATTGAATATTTAAATAGACTTCAAAATCGCCCCAAATGGCTCCAGCCCTCAAGAAATATATGTGAAAACGACCTCGTTCTTCTTAAGGAAGATAATATGCCTCCGCTCAAGTGGCCATTGGCCAGAGTCACTGAAACTGTCAAAGGCACAGATGGAAAAGTTAGAATTGTTAAGCTTAAAACATCTGATGGAAGTTTCACACGTTCAATAGCAAAGGTTTGTTCCTTACCAGAAAGTGTTAACTTATTGCCCCCACATAATAACCCTGAGTATTAGATATATTATAATCTTCCTCATTGTCTCAATTTCTTAATTCTTAAGTTTCGTAATGTATTTTTTTAATAACTCTCATAATTCTCCTCTTGTAATCACTTTTAATTTCTTGAAGTTGGAAACTTCAACCCGGGGCAGAATGTTGTGGAAACAGCAAAACAATCGTATTTATTTTTTATGATCACAGTGGCAACGTTGCAAAAAAGCCCCCCGCCGTGAAAGCTCGATGGCCGCTGACGCCGTACCAGGCTGTACTGGATCGATCCAGTCTGGTTGTTTTGTCGCTAGAGGAAAAATGCATTCCTTCTCTTTTTTTTCACTTCGCAGTGTGATTTGTGATTTTAGTAGTGTGGTTTCACTAGCAGTAAATAGTGCGTAAAAACGTCTAGCTCTATACAAGTTTGAACCTGCTCACTTTTCTCTAATTATTTAATTATTCTCTCTAGTTGCACCCTTGTGCAGTCTCTCTCTCGCTCTCTAAATAAAAAGACTTATTTCTTTATCTCTCTGGCTGCTGGCTTGAAAACTCAAGTGATATAATATCGCGTAAAACTTTGAGTTAATCACACTCCCCTTTTTTAAGGGCTCTCTAAAAATATAAAAACTCTCAACTCCCGAAGATTTCTATTAAGAATAAACTTTATCTTGTGCTCTCAATTAAAATATTAGCGTTCCGCTAATACTGACAATTATTGTTAAATTGACTATTGAGCACTTACAACTAGTGAATATATACCGATTAGTGAATGTTCTCGAATAACTCAAATGCGACTTGTTAACTAACCTGTGAATAATTAAAAGTACTTGAATGTGGTTACATACAGTATTTATTACTTTATTAAACGATTATTTTGGCAACAATAGAGAGATATAAAACTGGAAGTGTGAGTGCATTATTTAGCAGTGACATTCCCATCCCCTTTATGATCCAGTGATTTATCCCTAAATTAAATGTTGACACCTCAGTTAGAGGCCCTAACAAAAACTTACTTTCTTCCACCCTGTATGAAATGTTCTTGAAACAAAAGAAGACGGAAATGTTGAACCAACAATAATGAAGAAAATTGTTAGAGTAACTGAGACAAAGAATCGGGGTGATGAAAGTCGTTTTTCAGTTAAACTGAAACTTCTGCAAAACTACGAGATTTATTCAAAACAAAAAGTTGTTTTTCACCATTGATCTACTGATTCTTCCTAAACCCAGAAAAAAAGCAGGAGTATGTTTAAAAGAAAATGACGACGCCTTGAAATTTCTTAAACTTCGCACTGTTTTATTGTCCACCCTGTATGTTGTAGATAACGTTTCTGTTCATGAGCACGATACCATATACCTTGAACACTAAACAATGCGCCCCAATATGCTTCAAACAGCAAGCAAATATCTCTTATACTTTCTGAGATATTTGACTTGAAAAATAAGCAAAAAGTTTAGTTGGCCCATAATTTGGCTCTAAATATTTTTATTCGCACAATGTAATTCCATGCATAGACGCCGGAACCATGGGGGCAATGGGGGCTTGAGCCCCCATAGTGACTTTGGTATTGTATGTAGTGGGTGGGAGTGGGTAGGTTCAAAAATATTGAGTTCCTAACTATTTATTTCTATGTATATCAAACTTGTTTGTTTTATGTTTTTGTTGTTTCACTATACCTACCTTAAAAAACAGTTTGAATATTTTGTTGTGTAGTATTTAAGCCTGTATTTTCAATAAGTTGTTGGATTATTATTTTCTGTCCGTTTGTTTTAATGATAGGTATGTTCACATCACATGAATATATTATGATGTACCCATACACCGGGCTTTTTTCACCTAGTTTATTTTATATACAGACCGGACCAACCTACTAGACACATAGGGAGTAATAAGACAATCTAGCTTGTACCTGGTTAAGGCGAATTGAATAACTGCTGCCAATTGGCGTAGCCAGGGAGGGGGACAAAGGAGCATTTGCCTCCTTCTCCAACGCCTTTAAATGTTATTAATAATTCAAAATTAATATAAACAAAAAAATCAATTCAAGTCCTAGGTAAATAATCAAATACATACATACAGGGTGTCCCACGGTGGATGGCGTATTAGATGTTGATGGAAAACTAAAAAGCGGATCATTCCGAAAATTTGGCAACCGGGATAAACGACCATAATCTACACTTTAAAAATATTTTTGTTTATGCGGTGTTGCCGCTTCTACTCTAAACTAGTGGCAACATTGCTATTTTAAATGGAACACCTTATATTTGATTGCATATTTGGATTCTACGTAAAATTCTGAGCAGATTTTATGTGATATACCCCATACCTAAGTTCAACTGTTTTGGAAATATTGACAGTTGAAAACTGACTTTTTGCAACTTTGACAGGCTGTAAAACCTAAACGGTTAATTTTAGAGGAAAACCGATTTTATCTTCCAATCTTAGATTTTCATAAACTATCATTTGACACCAACTTTGAACTTAACCGGAGATTAAATTTAATTGGAATTTTTAATCATGGATTTAATTTAAAGTTGGTGTCAAATGAGAGTTTATAAAAATCTAAGATGGGCATGTGAAATCGGTTTGCAAAAAGTCGATTTTCAACTGTCAATATTTTCAAAACAGTTGAACTTAGCTATAGGATATATCACATGAAATCTGCTCAGAATTTTACGTAGAATCCAAATATGCAATCAAATATAGGGTGTTCTATTTAGAATAGCGATGTTGCCACTAGTTTAGAGTAGAAGCGGCAACACCGCATTGTCAAAAATATTTTTTAAGTTCATATCATGGTCGTTTATCCCGGTTGCCAAGTTTTCAAAAGGATCCGCTTAATAGTTCTCCATAAACGTCTAATACGCCATCCACCGTGGGACACCCTGTACATATATTATAATATAGATAACGTTCTACGGCCATAAATTCCTATTAGAATTTATGGCCGATTCTCCGCTTGCCCCTACCAATAATCGTAAAAAGACTGGAAAATTTCGCGCCTGCGGCGCTTGGCCTCCGGTGGCGCTTGCGGCGAAGGTGCAAGGATCACTTCCTGCAAATTTGACCTCACCCAAAAGACAAAATCCTGGCTACGCCAATGGTGTTGCCGAAGCCGAGTATAGCTGAGCTGCCGAAGGAGCACGAATTTTAATAATATGCAGGGAAGATCAATGATCCATTAGCGTGGCGAACCTGCAGTGAAATGGGCATCTGTCAACTGATCCTATTTAAGCCTATGTGTCTAGTAGCCTGGTTCTGTCTATATAATTAATTTTACTCATGTGAATTTTTGGAGCCTGAGCCCCCATAGTAATTTTGAAATTCCGGCGCCTATGATTCCATGTTTTCTTCGAAACTTCAGACGCACGTGCGTTTATTCTAACCAAAAATTGTATTAAAAACAATATAGATTTAAATTCTTACTTGAGTGGGAACATACGCAATCCCTTGTCCATCCCTGGGGTGTACGACAAGAAACAAGCCAAGGCGGTCTCGAAAACGATACCGAAATTGAGAGCCCAATTCCGCATGCCCTGGTGCACAATGGAGTTACGACGAGTCTTACAAATGATCAAATCGGCCCATTGGACGATCACAATGGAGACGAAAAAGGCTGTGTGACAGGTGTATTCCAGAACTTTTCTATCTTTGTAGGTCTAAAAAATTAATTTGTAATTTGTTTGTATGTTGAAAATAAATAATTTCTTACCCATTCTTGTCCGTATGAATCGGGCAAATCATTAATAGCTTTTGAGTCCCACTGTTTACGGATTCCAAATAGTTTCAGAGGCAGGAAACCATTTTCAGCCATGATGACGAAGTAGACGAAAAATCCAGCGGCCGCTTGAATCATACCGATTTGACCGTAAGCCATCGAAATCAATCTAGTTTACGAAAAATAATTCAATCAGTTTGAGTGTTGGATTTGAAGTTTTTAACAAACACCAACTTATATTAACAATTAACATGCAACATTTAAAAGCACTATTTCAAGAAAAGGTAAGTTCAAGCAATAATAATAAAAACAGCCAGTGTAGGTATTATACCAACTCTTGAAATAAAACATTTAATTTGGTGCAATGTCAAAATGACATTAGACCATCAAGGAAAGCGATACTTCTGCTTCATAAAATTAACGAGGATATAATAGCATTTAGTTTGCATACAGTGTGATAATAATAATAAGCACAGGAATTAAAAATAACATGCACGTAAAAAACCTCTACACATTATTTCATATTTTTGCTTACTACGTATAGAAAAATTCTCTTACCAAAATATTTTTTAATAATAAAAATTCAATTGAAATACAATGTGTAATACCTGTTGTGGAACTATAAAATCCGTAAGGGATGCAGCTCAAATTTACAGCACATCTATTTTAGTGTCTAGATTTTCAAAAAAAGTTCTAAAGAACAGGCTACAAATCAAAAACATTGAAACAGAACAAAGAAAAGTGTCCCGCTACAAAATGCTAGAACTGATTTTAAGTCAAAAATACACAAACTATACCTCGGCATTTAAAAATGTCTTTACTCTAAAACGGAGAGAAAATTCTAAAACAAAAACACAACTATTCAAAAGTCGCCTACAAGAAATAGAAATTGGTTACAAGGTTGAACTAGTTGAAACAATTTATAATTATAATTTGGAAGAAGAAAAAAAATAATAAATAAAAAATGTTGGGTACATATTACACTAACAAAAAACATAATAAATAAAAAGACAAAAATAGAACATTTAATCTTGCCAAGTAGTAGATCGTTTCAAATAGTTCATCTTGTATATTGACAATTTTGATTACAATGAATTCAAAAGCCAATTATTAGTATCTAATATAAAGAAATACGGAAACGATAGAATCAAAGTTAGCCAATAATAATAGTAATAACTACAAAAATAAAAAATAAGAGAAAAAAACTGGAAATTTTGCCCCTTCAATTTGAATCCATTCACCCTCTGTGTCCGAGATTAACAGTGAACCAAAAATACTGTAAACCTTAAAAAAAAATTAAAAAATCGTGCCGAGGTAAGGGTTGTGTTGGTGCCAAAGGCCATCACGACACCATTGCAGTCAGTACATTTACATCACAAGAACTATAAAACGGTTTAACATTAGAACTAAGAACAATCAAGTTTAATAAGTTATTAGTTCTGTTAAACCCCAAAAACAAAAACTCTTTGTGCGTAAATGTAGTGATTAACCCACCTGCGGTTAACCAGGTTGTCCCTGTACGGGTCGCGAGGTTGCCGTTTCATTATGTCGCTCTCTGGTGCCTCGTAGGCCAAAGAAATGGCAGGCACCTACATTGGAAAGGATGACCGCCAAACACACACACAGTTAGTAAAGTTAGAAGATAGATTTAATCCACATGCAATTAAATTGTATTTTATTCGTTGTTTTGTCGAGAATATAATTATAGTGTGTAGAGAGATGGCGTTTTCGGAAAGGTCTCGCGGAGTAAAATAGGGTGAGGTGTATTAACTACTACTGGTTGATAGCTGCTATCTTGGATGATGATTATGATTCCATAGCAAAAAATATTACAGCTCTACTTTATAAGATCTTAATTGGAACGTTCTAATACAACTAATAATAAACTTATACAATGAGTTTGCATTGTTCTGATTACGGCCAGGTATGGTTTTCCTCTATAAGACAATGAAGAAAACCTGAATTCTCTCTAACATTGGATTTTGAGCTTAAATTACACTGACGAGAACTAATAAGCTTGAAACTGGGATGCAAAACCAACATTCTTGTTGAAAATTGTATTGTGGATCTAAACCACAGACAGAACTGAATTGGATTCAGAAAATATGATTTCATATGTTGTGCGCTCTTCAAGCTAAAACTCCTGATTCCCATAATCTTTTTAATTTTCTGTTTTGTCTACAAGATAGTCCAAAGTGTCTTTTATTGACTGGAACAGATATATAATGAATATTATAGTGAATAAATATTTCACAAAGCGAGGGGGGTGTGTAACGATGTTACTTAAATTTCCTGGGGTTGAATGTGTGCTTACGGTATAATTTGATATTAATTACTTCCCCGCTTGAATATAGGTATTTCGATACGCGATATTCCAGAATCGCTGCGCGCTTTACTCGACAACAAGCCCTCGTGTCAGAGTGGGAACACCAGCCGTGACAATACAACCGCAGTACTCAGGCTATAGCAGGCAGACGGACACCGCCGTTTCACTGTTTCAGGTGCAGCAGCAGAGCGACCATCACCAGGTACCGCTTCTACCGACGCCGACGCCGCTTCCACGTCATGACGCCGGATTCAAATGTATAGGTTAGTGGTTGCTTCAAGGGTATGTCTGATACTGCCATCTCTCTCCGTGCCATGGTGACATGGCATGGAACCGATGGTAGATTACCTGCATTTCATCGTTATGGACCCGTATTACGTTCGATGGAAAGCAGGGAATATTCAGCATTCTATATTTTACAGAGATTTGTCTCTTGCTTCGGTACGGACCCGTACTATATCCGGTGCGAGGAGATGAGTGCATACTTTCCCAGGTTCTCCTTTCTCTCTGAAGTAGGTTCTAAGGTTTACAATATACAGGGTGATTACTGGTTAGGATTAAGAAGAACTGGTTTAGCTTATTATGAGTATATTTTGGCAAACACGAATGATGCTTTATTTTCCTTAATTGTTGGTTTTATTTTTATCCATATCGTATCTATGACCCCTGGCATACCGTTTCTCCGCTGCATAAAAGCACCCTGGTGCAGGTGGGCCCTTTACCACCATAATCCAAAGGGTGGCGCCCGAGATAACCGTTGGACTGTAATTCGAAAAATACCCAAAACATCACGATATACAGGGAGACCTAAAATAACGCTACACGATGTTGGTATTGAAACTTAAATTATGAATTGTTTTATCAGCTAAAACATTGAATTTTTATTAGGAGACATTTGAAAAAAGAAAGTTTTTTTCCTGGTGGGACTATGGGAATCAAATTCACAAGAAATATAGTCCAAAGTGTCTTCATTTGACTGGAACAGACCGCAAGTCGATATCGACATTGAAACTTAACTTATGAATTGTTTTGTCAACAAAAACATTGAACTTTCACTAAGAGACATTTAAGAAAATATAATTTTCTTCCTGGTACGAATATCAACGATAAATTTACAAGAAATATAGTCCAAAGTGTTTTTATTTAAATGAAACAGACCATAAGTCGAGGTCGGCATTGAAACTTTAGTTATGAATTGTTTTGTCAGCAAAAACATTGAATTTTAACTAAGAGACATTTGAGAAAATGAATTTTTTTTCCTGGTAAGAATATCACGTCAAATGTGCAGGAAATATGAAAATAATAAGTGGACTCTATAATTGGTGTAATCAAATCGATCGCGATATGCACACAATTTGATTTTAATAAGAAATAAGAACTCACTCACCTATATAGCGTATTACTAAATTCACTAAATTCTTGAATAAGAGGGCCCTCTGAACACTTCCTTTGGGTTGCTCAATCCACCCAGAACAATAGTTGGGTTAGTAAAGTTTTTTTTGTAATTTCGAAAATCCGAAAGCCGAAAGTTGTTTTGTCACCACAAATTAAAGTTAATAACAAATGGTACAAGGGCAAGAAAATTTACATGCCTTCACGCGCGACGGTACTTTCTGGTGCGTTGTCGGACGGGTTCAATCGTACTGATTTTACTATTTTTAGGAACCGTATGTAGTACCGAAAAGGTATAGGTTTTTGCGCTGGTGAGGTATGTGAGTTTTACCATTCAAACTTGTGCATATTATCAAAAATAATGAATGCTATGCGCGCGAATAATAATCTTCAAATTCAAAAATATTGAAACCAACGTTAATTAATAATTAATTACACGCTAACATAAATTTAATAAAGATTCTTCAACATCAAATTTACGAGAAATATAGTCCAAAATGTCTTTATTTGACTAGAACAGACCGCAAGTCAATGTTGATATTGAAACTTTAGTTATGAATTGTTTTGTCAGCAAAAATATTGAATTTTTACTACGAGACACTTTACAAAAATACGTATTTTTTCCTGGTGAAAATATCAACGTCAAATTTACAAGAAATATAGTCCAGTGTCTTTATTTGACTGGAACAAACCGCAAGTCAATGTTAGTATTGAAACTTAAGTTATGAATTGTTTTGTCAGCAAAAATATTGAATTTTTACTAAGAGACATTTGAGAAAATGAAATTTTTTTCCTGGTAAGAATATCAACGTCAAATTTACAAGAAATATAGTCCAAAATATCTTTATTTGACTAGAACAGACCGCGAGTCAATGTTGATATTGAAACTTTAGTTATGAATTGTTTTGTCAGCAAAAACATTGAATTTTTACCAAGAGACATTTAAGAAACTGAAGATTTTTTCCTGATAAGAATATCAACGTCAAATTTACAAGAAATATAGCCCAAAGTGTCCTTATTTAACTGAAACAGATCGCAAATCGATATCGACATTGAAACTTAACCTATGAATTGTTTTGTCCGCAAAAGCATTGAATTTTCACTAGGAAACATTTGAGAAAATACAGAGTTTTTGCTGGTGAAAATATCAACATTAAATTTACAAGAAATATAGTCCAAAGTGTCTTAATTTGACTGAAACAGACCGCAAGTCGATATCAACATTGAAACTTAACTTATGAATTGTTTTGTCAGCAAACACATTGAATTTTTACTAGGAGACATTTGACAAAAATACAGATTTTTTCCTGGTGAAAATATCAACGTCAAATTTACAAGAAATATAGTCCAAAGTGTCTTAATTTGACTGGAACAGACCGCAAGTCGATATCAACATTAAAACTTAACTTATGAATTGTTTTGTCAGCAAACACATTGAATTTTTACTAGAA